AGAAGGATAAGTTGCTCTTACGAAAACAGGAATAGAAGGCGGAAAGGATGATCATTTCAGAATCAAGAAGACAAATGATACTAAAAAATTGTCGATATAAAAGAGCATTAAAGAAGCCGTTATTGCCACCGATCAGAACTTCCTACGTCAAAGAAGGAAGGCAGAACGAGACTGGAACGAATAAGAAGTAATATGCAAGCTTTAAATAGAGGGCAACTGATTCAAAACTACGTCAAAGCAGGGGAGGACAGAATGAGGGAGAAGCATGACAAAAAGAGAAAAGTTAGTGATCTCAAAGATAGCATGGGCCCATGCCAGTGTAGTTCCTCTATTTTGGTGTGCGTATTTTCATGAAGCCAATAAAATGGGACCATAATCCTTCCCTAATGGCTTAATAAATCCATTAGGGCTCTACAACACATAGGATTATGAGATTTATGACCCACCTCGAAAAAATAAAACTTTAATCTCACAATTTCTGCATCAAATTAAATGAATAATTTGATAATTCCACATGTTTAATATCAACATCAAGTTCTTCAAAGTACTTGAGACAAAAACTACTAAACATGTTTAAGGGATAGAGAATTGAGAAGCACTATCAGCCAGTACATTTTCCAGAGGCATAATGTCAATAAGAATTACCTACATTAAGTATATGTTTGCAAGAAATGTTGCTGTATATTGATAACTCTCAGCTTATCAGGAAGTATCAAACAGGGAATTTGTTCTCGGCTGCATCACTGCATTGTGACCACTACACTAGGTAATGACAGTCACACACCATCCATATTGCCCGAAAAAGTAGTTTCACGACTGTTATTACAATCACAACCGAGATTTATAACCCTCCTAACAAACCAAAGTACCCGTCCACAATAGATCCACATTTGTTTAGCGTGCATATCTGGGATACTCAAGTCAACTAGCACACTGAGACCAAAATTAATGTAATTATTATAATATATGGCATACTAATCCAGACATGAAAAGGAAAGCAAAGTAAGGAGCCGGTCTTTCCCTCTGCAACCTCAAATCCTCAATTAGAAAGGATTTAGAAAATGCCCAGTGCATCCCAGGGTTCAACTACCCAAAATCACAGAGAGGTTCAACATCAGATACCAAAGTTCACAGACCAGAAACAGGTAAATGAACAGCTAGTTTACTCAACATGTTTACCAAAAGTATTGGCGACTCTGCATTAATATAATGAATTAATGATAGAAATCTAGAATTCTGATTAAGTGCACAATGTGTGGTTGGTGGTCCACCAAAAGTTACCACCTTCAGTACATAGCAGAATGTTGAGAATGGAGCCTTCAATCAGTGGAGACCACCTAAAGAGATCTCCATTAAACATAACTTTAGTGCTCCAAACAGTAGAAATGCGAAGCATATTTCATCCACAAAGTTAAATATTTCCAAAGCAGGCAAATAAAACTATTAACATGACGGAAAGTACGACAATCACTAAAGAAACCAGAGAATAATGTATTGTCTAATGTCTACTATACATAAGAAAAGAAGGGAGCCAAGAATGGGGTTTTTTAGCTTCTCATTAGAAGAATGACTGATCAAAAATTTCTTTTAAACTGTAAAAATAAATACAAAACAGGTCACTTCCAGTATCAAATATTCTATATTTGATTTGATTGAGTTAGCTATGGTTCTCAGAATTTTTTAAGCCCGATTGTAAGTTAGTAACCTCAATTTTAACCCCCATAACAAATAAGATACATACATACTTTTTACACTACCCAGTTACAGTTATAATTTCATTCCTTTCATACATTGGTAAACTATCTACTAAAAAAAATAATTAAAAAAAAAAAACAAGAGTGAATACTCCACATAAGTTACCTGTAAAAGATCAAAATAAAAGGCAACATCAAACTTTAATTTAACCAGTGATTTATTTGTGCACAAAAAGTCGTACTGATTGGCTACAAGGATCCTTCAACAGGAGAACTTGTTTTCCAAAGCAAAGCCAGAGGAAGTCACATTCCCTCGTAATATTCATAAAGAATAATCCAAAGTGAATTAACTTTCCCTGTTTGCTTAAATCAATACGCTTTAAGAGATTTTCTCGCTTTGCTCTATAAAAATCTCACTTTAAAATACTCTAACAATATGTCAATATGACATGAGCAAGGCATAACAAACACCTCTTTAGTTACATTTTTTGTTTTTTTTTTGGCACACAAAACTATTCTTCAGCTGAATCGGGACAAAATTGGGAATGCATAATCTTAAAACTTTAATCAGTCTGTGCAGTAAAAGGACATATTTCTCAAAAAAAAAAAAAAAAAAAGATTCTTCAAAATTAAACTTAATTTAACTACACGCAGAAGTAATAGCAGCAATAATTATTAATACATAACTGTCATGTATGTATTATATAAAAAACTACAAGCTAGAGTCTTGCATAAGGGCCTTGAAATGATCAAACCCTTAGCTTAGATTTAAAAATCAAAGAACAGGGGATCACAACCATCATTACAAGTACTTTTATAACAGGACAATTTTCTCATATATTAAATTATTAGTTTTATATTAGAAAAGTGAAATAAGAAGTACAAGTGAAGAGCAAGTATCTCTCAAAGCGTAGATAATTAGAATCACAATGTCATGGCATATTTAAGAAAAGTCTATCTTAAGACCTCAACCTCATGATTAATACCCAATATATAATATTTTTAATCCCTATATTTGGCATCTGTTGGTTACACTATGCAAATCTAATTTCTTAAGAAGATTTGTTACTCAATTTTACCAACCATCTAACATCTTGTTATCATATATTAAACTGCCATGTTTCAAAAAAAAAAAAAATATTGAACTGCCAAGCCAGTTAACCTGATTATCACTGTCCTACACACACCCTGTAGAAACTGTGGCAAAACCTTGATAGCTACAAAATCTTCAGGAGCTATAGTGTTCAACTTACCCTACCGAGCAATCTTCACGGCTGGCACCCAACGAGTAATCCTCAACCTCATTGAATTCCCAAACAATCGTCCACAATTGTGCAACAGAGACATGAGATAGTCTTAATTTTTCCTGTAGCAGCCACCATCCTTTCATACATCTAATATATTTGAAGTTAAGTATGTTGAAAATTTATCATTACTTTAAAAGACACTTGGTTGAATTCAATCTGGCCACTAGATACACCAATTATAACCTTAATATCGATATCATCAACAAGAGATTCCTGAACTTGAGGATTAACATTGTGACTTACAAGTACAGCCTCAACTACCTTATCCTTATTAGATGCACACAGTTGCAACCGTTAATTCCTAGTTTAGCACCCCACCCTCCTCTTTAAGAATTTACAGATTGTTCAAGACTAATCCCAGAGTTTTGCGCACAGGTCAAAGTCTCAAAGACAGTGAAAATGGGCAAACTTTATAATAGCCCTCAAATCATATTCTACACTGCTTTGAGAAAATAATTTTCCACCTCTCGCTGTCTTGCACCATGTAACATGACCAAATGTTCAAGATATGGCCTTTAAATGCTTAATACATACTGTAGCACACTAGTACTACCAGATGAGCCACCTCAAACATCAAACATATCTCCTCACACAACACTTGACTCAATAAAACATATGCATATACCCTTGCTACCACAAGTGCTAGATCCCTCACATCGTTACATAGAAAATTTTCCATTACCTTTGAAACAGTAATAGCTAGAATCTACTGATTTATATTCGAAATTAATCAATAGATTATTTTAGAGGCAAAAGTTTGATTCTTGATTAATGGTGGAAACCAGTTCATACAAAAGAGTAGCTTGAGGCTACTACTCACTAAGTAAGTAACTTGAGGTACTAATCTCCTAGAACTTAACTCACAATATCAGATATACATTTTAAGTGCTACTTCCTCTATGCAAGCTTCATTACATAAAGCAAAATCTAACATTAATGTATTTGTCTTCTACTACTTCAGAGTATCAGTCAGGCTCTTTTGGTTTGCCACATTCCTTAGTGCTTCATTAATTCCTTTTGTCTTCTTACTCCCCTGCTCCCTACTGCTGATGATGTTGCTTGTCCCCCTCTCGCTTTCCTTGCTTGTGCCTTTGGGTGTAGACTTTGATAGGTGGTTGGGCTAGGTATGGCGGATCCATTACAGAAACCCTATGTTTTTAATGAGCTAGCCAGTTGGTTATGCTCACCTCAATGATCTGATGACCCAACAAAGTAACATTCACCCCCCCCCCCCGGTAAGATCCATTGTAAAAATCCTCACCGCTGTATGTTGCCACCTCATCAACCACCTAACGAAAGCACTACCCATAAATCCACCCAAGGAACCAAGTCCATCTCCCTGGGAAAAAAAATGGCTCTTTTTACCCTTTCTTCAATTCCCAATCTAGAACAACCTCCCATTAGAATTTGATTAGTCTTGATCCTACCCAAAATCCCCCAAGCCTCTTCCTCTCAACAGATGGATACAGCCCGAAGGAGACAAAAGTTTCAAGCACCCAACAAGACATACACTCCAACATAAGCATCCACGGGAATTTTCACCAACCCTTTTCCTGATCTCTAATAAAACCCTCATTTCATCTCAAAGGTCAGAAAGAAGATTTCGTCTTCTATCCACATCAAAACAAGACCTCCATATCCATCCCACGCTCAAAGGAGACAAAAAGGTTTTAAACACTCAACAAGGCATACCATCCAAAAAAGGCATCTACAAAACTTTTCTCGCCTCTTCTCCAAAACACTAACAAAATTCTCACTTATAGACATCTCAAAGAACAGGCAAAGTTCAATTTTTCATCCGCACCAAAGCAAGGGCATGGAACAAGAGAGAGAGGAAAGAGAGTTTGGGAGAGAGAGGAAGACAGGTTGTAATAAATTCAAATCTTGAGCAAATTCAATGCTCTGCCTTATAACTCAGATCACTGAGGATCTACAGAAACCCATCATTCAAGAACAATTAATCAACTAACTGCCAATAATTCAGCTTTTATTTTTATTTTTATTTATTTATTTTTGAAATAGTCTTTCAAAAACTCTTTCAAAAAGGGATAACAAGTTACTATATGCATTAATTCCCAAAAACCTAAGTTGTTTCTCCTGATGTTTGAGCCTTAATTATTCCATATCAGTAGAATTGGAAGCAAAAACATGTATTAGCACAATCCAGCTTTGTGGATAACTAAAATAGAAAACTTCAATGGGAGCAATTACAAGAAACAAGTCATAGCTTCTTGAATAAAGTCAATCATTCTATTTTAGCACATGTTAAGTCTTGTGAAAGTTAAATCTGGTTTAGGTCCTACACAGCCTGCTCAAGGCTCCCACAGTGACAGAAAAAATATTAGTGTACTTGTTCTCGTTCCATAAATTTGAGAAAGATGGTTAAGGAAATTGGATCCAATGATGATTCATTTCATAAGAAAAAGTACAATAATATCCATCTCATCTACAGATTTTTTATAGCAACAACCCCCCCCCCCCCCTCGTCCTCTTTCCTCCCCTAAAAAAAAAGGGAAAATAAATAGAAAGGAAAGAAGAAGAAATCAACAAAGATAATAAAGTAATAAGAAGGTTTAAACCCTTACACTTAGGTAAATTTTCCATATCAAGATAGCTGCTGCCTTAACTACAAAGTGAACAGTAATTGGAAAGCTCCACTCAAGTTTTATTGGACCTGCAATAGATGCTTAGCCTAGGTCAAAGTATTTCTATTATGAATGGTCATTAGATAACAAATGACAAAACATAGACTTGTGTATATAACACACCGTGACAATGGTTTTGATGTCAGCCTTTCTCAACTTCAGCAGTATATTTTAGCCCGTTGTATATGAAATCAGTTGATGCACATTTCACAAAACACATTTGGTCGGCACGGTCCTGCAGGCACTCCCATTTTTCAATTGAACTCATTCCTTTACAATGCTCAGATAGGTGATTAGCCCTTCTTCTTCATTGCCCACTTTGGCCCATAAATTGCCAAATGTGTTCTTCCAAAGCGACGATCAGCTATCTGCAGTATATATACAACAAAGGTAAGATTTCTGACCATTCACTGAAATCTGCATGACATAGTACTGGTATTCTCCTGTTTTAAAGAATTTAGCACAATAAGATAGTGAACAGAAAATCAAATGCGATCCCACTATCTTAGAGCTAGTTGGATGCATAATAATGTCCAAGAATCTTCACATCAGTAATTTGTAGTTAAAATCCTTGACGCCAAAAAAGTCTCTATCTATATTTTACCAATAATATCCCAACCTGAAAGAGTTCATCTAGAGACATAAAGAAACAAACCTTCATAAGGCATCCGCAAGAATCCAGCATGTCTGTTCCCAAAGGATATTCGACCACCTGAGGCAAGCGATTTTTTAAACAAGAACAAGCAGCAAAGAACCACCAATATCAAGATAGAAAGTGAACAATACTCCTTTTTCTTTCTGTTACTCCTATTTCACTTTTTGCACATTTTCTACGCACATTTTTAAGAATAAAGATATTCAATACACATTATGAAACAAAATAAAATAAAATAAGTTGATGCTGTGCGGCTACGTATTAAGACAAATCAAGATACCGTGTGTGTATGTGCGCGCGCGCGCATGTGCGCGTTTAAAAAAGCATTATATGTTATCTGCATTGAAATCTATAAAGAATTCAAACAAGACTAAAGAAATGGAGGGAATAGTAAAAGCAAAAAAAATAAAGCTTACAATAAACGCATCATCTCCAACCAAGGGGGAATCTGATAATTGTTTCATAAGTATTCCATAATCCACTTTCATGTATGGAGGTGTTACACTAATGTAGTCAAAAGTTGTATCACCGCCTGCAAGAAAGCAATAAAATTAAGAATTGAGACAATTTAAATGTGAAAGATACATAACACCTTATCATTTATAATTAGACCAAGCAAAATTTGACCCAACCCATAATTCGGCCTGAAAATAAGGGGTGTTAACACAAAATCGTACCTGTAACCTGTAATTGACCAAACCTAGAAAAACCATAAATAAGTGGATCAAACCCAACCGGACACAAAAACCAACCCTCACAACATAGTATTATTAAAAAAAAAAAAAATTAACTCACAAAAATACCCTTTAAGAGGCAACAACCAAAAAAAAGGTGTGTTGTACTTTTGTGCCTTAATATTTAATTAGGGTGTGATATCCTTGAATCGACGTCAATGGTCAATCAATATCATTAATTTGCATTTCAAAATTTTTGTAGTCTGGTAATTACAAACTCATTCAAAGAAACTTTAACTAATTTCTAATACCATAATAGGCAGATTAATAGTGGGTTTTTATTTTTATTTTATTTTATTTATTTATTTATTTATTTATTTTCCCTTTTTTTATATTTACAACACTAAAGATAAAAGCAACCTTAACCTAACTCACCGACCTGTAACCGGAACATTCTAGGTTAAGATGGACGTGTAAGTATTGTGATAATGTTTATGGGAGATCTTCATGGTCAGTATTTTAAAGGGATAAAATTAAGGGCTGAATTTGACTGTCTTGCCCTAAAACTTCATGTTACAGAGTATGATAAATGATGCACTAATGAGCTGGGAGGTCAACATCACTCAGAATCAATCGTTTAATATGAAGGCTGATTAATACAACATTTTGGAAGTTACCAGTTTTGATACATTCTTTCAAGAAACTCAATTTCAGGACATTGACTAGTCAAACCACCAATATGCTAACTCTAATAAATACATTACCCACCAAAAAATAGCATATAATGAAGGGCAACAAACAGTCCAAAAGCTAATTCTAATAAATGTTGAAATGGTAAAAATTGAGACAAATTTCAAATGGACCATCTCATGACACAAGCAGCAGAAGGAAATTCAGGTGTAAAACATCAGTAATAACGGACTCATGCACCTATTAAACTGAAAGCCAAAAAAAAAAAAAAACAAAAAAAAAAGTCATAACAGTACACACCTACAAACTGCTGAGCTCGTTCCAAGAAATTTTCAACAGTGACAGTATGTATAACTGATGAATCAAGAAACCCTGTCCATTGTAGATTTGGCTGCAGAACATTTGAAACCACCCATGGATCCATCTCAATAAAATGAACCTGAGCATTGGCAACACCAATTCTAGATATATTAGGCTAATACACACAGAACTCCACAGAATTAGCAAACAGCAGAATTTTGTGTTAACAAATTACAAAGTTATTGTTATTAGTCATTTTTACAAAATACACAGAGTAGCAAAATTGAAATTTTCCTAAGCCAAATAAAATATATAGGTCAAACTAACTTACTTAATTTGATCCACATTATAGGATTTTTACATATCTGTTCATCATCTCATTCAACACTAAGAAACTAAGAGTAGTTGTCTTCTTCCAATAGCAAATAGTGGGCAAATGTAAAGCCAGCTAATACTGAGAGAGTAAGAGTAAGAGTAAGAGCACATTACAGCTACTGTAAATGACAAAGTAGATAATACACTCATTACAGCAAAACAAGACTAATGATACCCATGAAAAGAGTGATAACGGTGGGTGACCATATAAAATAAGATTACAAGAGGCAGCTTTTGATATTCCATTTACGCACATAGCTAAGATATCCTAGTATCCTACTATATATTATGGACCAGAAGGAGTAATTTGTGAACTATTTAGTGGACTCACCTCAGAACAACCTCGACTCAAAGCTTCAATGCCAACTGAACCAGTGCCGCTATACAGGTCCAACCAGCGACCGGGTCTTAAAGATGCAGGGCAGCCACCAGCCACCTATATAAGAAAATTGACGAGCAGTTTTCAACATATGGAAAGTGAACAAGAAGAAGAGAACCAAAATTTATTTTTCACTTGTGAGATAATTTAAAGCACAAATTATGAAAAGGAACATTTGCGAAAATTTTCAGTGAAAAATTCAACTAGTATACCTTAGAATGTTTTATTTAGAAAACCAATTTTCTATATTGGTATAAGATCACTAATAATGATTAATCTTAAAAGAGAGCAACAGAGAAAGAGGGAAGTAAGAATTAGTGACTTGAAATAAAAATAGGTCTTCATTTTTATGTTAAGTACCTACTAATCTTTTTGTGGTTTGTGATAACACGTTGAATTTAATAGAGAAAATGAGTGTGTGCTAAACTTTTGATCCGCTGTTCCGCATTTGAATTTAATTTTTATTTAGTAATTGAAAACAAATAAACAATTAACATATATCCAGGCATCTCGCTAGCAACACAATAATGCGAGGTCTTAATGTTTTTTGCAAATAATGTCCATAAAAAAAACAAGGAAAGTACAACATTAAGGACAAAGAGTTATCTAAAGAATAATTAATGCAAAATGAATAAAAGTCAATTAGGCTAAACTTCACTTAAGCCCAGACAAGGCATTACTCCCGTTTAAAACTTTTAAACACCACTCTATTTGGTCAACTATAAAAATTTCATTCCTTTCCATCTGAGACACCTAAGGAAACCAAAATCAATGTAAAGCAATGCATCCATCATCTAGCTCATCAATATTTCACATATAATAACATATAAAAAAAACAAAATAACTTATTTGGTCTCTTTTCTCATAGTCCCTTGGGTATAGGTTTATGCACCAAAACCTCCTCAAACCATAAAGCACACACAATAAAAAAAATTTCTAGAAAACAGTACCTGCAATATATCAAATGCAGCACCTTTAACTACCTCCATCATGGGACGAACATCCATGCCTACAGGAGATAAGAGCTTCTTTCTTTTAGCTTTCCCAGCCAGCACCTAGCTAGACAATACACTTATTCATGGAGCATTTAGAGGGAAATTAAAGAAATCTCAACCAATCCAAGGTATAGAAAGAACATTCATCAACCTACAAATGCTAATTGATTTCACAAAGTTGGTTTACTAATTCAGTGAATTCAGTAGCTCGGTGACGACAGTTTACAGGAAAAAAGTGATTATAAAAGATGCAAAAGGAGAAAACCAACCATCGTATAATATACTCCCTCCGCCCCCTTTTGTTTGCCTTATATTCCAAAAGATTATTCCGTACTATAAATGGTCATGAAGGATCATCACCCTAACATTCACTATAATTGGTCCCACCGAATTTGTTTCTTATCAACTCCATCCAACCAAAAACTAAATTGTAATTCAGCTCTATAGGCAACAAAAGGAATACCATTTAGCATAAAATTAATGAAAAAACAACTTTGCTGGTTCTTGATCAGCCAAATGTATAATAATCTGTTACAAGAAAAAGAAATGTCTGGCTTAAATTCCTCTCTAAGAGCCAATTTAAGAGATAGGTCTTTTACACTTACAGTTGCAATGCTAATTAACCATAATATGGTAATAAGTCTAATAACGATAAACAATACATTAAACTAATGTGAGGAGACACGTTGTACCCAAAAACATATTGCATATATGCATCACAGCACAATTCCTCTTAGAACATAATCAAGCAAAAATGAAGCAAAGGTACACACCTGCAGCAATTTATGAGTGGTACGAGGCGGTTTTTGGTCTTCCTTCACCACTACTTGTTTTCCTTTACCTTTTCCCATCCCCTGCTCACGCTCCTTTCTCCTCCTTCTCTGCAACCACCCACCCAAATTGTTGGTGTAAGGTCAAATTTCACAAGTAACAGTCAGCTATGTTTCTTATAATTAAAGATGACATACGAAATACGAACTTATGATACCTTAACGGGCACAGAAATGAAGTCATTAGGGTCTAGGCCATAGCGGTCGAAGAGCTCTTGCTTCTCCTGACTCAATATCGCATCCTTGGGACCTTCAACAATCAATTACAAGTGTATAAAACAAATTAAGAATGCTAGAATTGGAAAATTAATTGTCAAATTAAAGAGAAAAGTAGCTAAATTAAGATATTTAGAGGTGAAAATTGTACCAGAAGAAGAGACGATAACGGAAGAGCGGCGGCAATTCATCGGCGTAAAATTGGGGGAGAATTTGAAGAATGGAGAGAGAAATGAACGAGAATTAGGGTTGAGAGGGGTTTTGAGTTGCAGAGGAGAGAGAATTGGAGGGAGATTAGGAGATGATGCCGCCATTGCTCTTACTCTATAGGGTTCAAGTTCACTGCTCTTTGACGCTCTGCAAGTTTGTGTTGTCAACTGTCACAAACGGTTTAGGTAATCAGTAATTGATTATACTCTCCCCGATTTAAAATTAGGTAATATTAATTTATAAAAGTAGATATTATGACAATTTAACAATAAATTATACTCTGTATAATTACATTTATTTATTATATACTCCTTTCGTTTTTTAATACTTGCTCCACTTTTTATTTTCGACCATTTTTAATTACTTGCTACATTTCCTCAGCTCCTGTTCTGTACACCCGGATGTACCTTATTTTAGGTACACCCAGGGGCATTTTGGTAAATTTGCAATAAAAAAAAAGAAGCATGTGCCTTACGCATGATAACTGGAGCTTCTTTTCTTCTTCCTTATATCGACACTCAATTTCATAATTCAGTTCTTCATAAATTTGCAGACAATTTACTCGAAAATTCACAGCAATAATGGCAGAATTGATTGCAACTCCAGTACCAACTCCTATACAAACAATCGAAGATCAATCTCAGCAACAACCAGGTATCAATTGAGCATTTTTGCACTTTTTTATGCAATTTTTTTGCGAATTTATCTATATTAGTTGTTGATTTGAGCAAACTCATCTTTTAATTTATGTTTATTGCCGCTGAATTCTATGTATTTTAGCAATAATGAACTTAAAAGAGCATAAATTGATCGAGATTATTCATTAAAATTCGAATGAGCATAATTTGATTATTCAGCATAACGGTTTTAATTGTACTGCAATTGAGCAAATAATGAATTTTACTGTAATTGAGCAAATAGAGGTTAATAATCTAGTGCATGCATGCAGGTTTTAATTGTACAGCAATTGAGCAAACAGAGGTTGATTATCATATTAGAGGCACTAGTATTGATTTTTCATATGAGCAAATTGAAACATATGGGCAAACCTAAATGAACAAATTTAGGTGAAATTGATATTTTTAATTGTTAGAGGCATTAGTAATGAATAAATCAGTGTTGTATCTGATTTAATCAAACAATGTTGCATCTGACTTATTAATCAGTGTTGAATAAATCAAATGATCAAATTATGAGCTGACTTAACAAACCAGATTATGATTCTTTGTGTATTGTCAAAGATAGTTTTGCTCATTTTTCTAATGATCAAATAGTGTTGCTGCAAAAATTGCTAAGTCAGTAAATATTGCTAACAAGCAAATCAGATAATTTTGCTCATTTTTGTAACAAGCTAACAAAGTAGATTGCTGCAGAATTTGCATCATTGGAAAACATACACAAAGAAGCTGGAGAATCAGAGCTACTTGGTTTAAAAGTTAGTACTAAAGTAAAAGAAGCATTCAAGATATACAATGAGTATGCTTTCAAAAAAGGATTTGGGGTTAGATATTCCAGGACAAGGAAGAGTGAAGCAAATGGTGAAGTTAAAGGGCAAGAATTTTGTTGCAATAAAGAAGGTCTAAAGAAAGAAAATAAGGAGGGAAATACAGCAAACTAATTAGAAGTACTAATTGCAAGGCGATGATATATTTTAAAATAGATAATAATGGTGCATGGGAAGTAGTTAGGCATAGGACAGAACATAATCATAGTTTCCGTCCTCCACAACAGGTACATCATGTGCGTTCCCAAAGAGGGATTACAAATGAAGAAGTGCAGTACCTTGTGCATATGAAGAGAAGAGGTGTAAGTGTTGCTGAAGCTTATAGGTGTCTAAGGGTAGAAGCTACAAGTTCCCCTGCACTTGGTTTTAGTTTAGAGGATGCATATAATGTTGTTGCTAGAGCAATGAGGAAACAATTCGATGGTTGTGATGCAAACACGCTAATTAATATATTTATGCAAAAACAAGCTAATGAAGAGGATTTTTATTGGGATTTTGAAGTGGACCTTTAACAAGTTTTTTTTGGAGGGATAAGAAAATGAAAGAGGATTACATGGTTTTTGGAGACTTAGTGGTACATGACACCACATATAGGACAAATAAGTATGACCTTATTTGTGGTCCATTTGTGGGAATGTATAGTCATGGACACAATTGTATGTTTGGTTGTAGATTTATCTTGAATGAAAGAACTTGCTCTTTTGAATGGTTGTTCACCACTTTTTTGAAGTCAATGGAAGGTCTATACCCTAAAACATTCATGACAGATAAGTCATTCGCCATAAATAAGCATATGGCACATAGGTGAAAATTCTAGAGCACATATCAGAGACCTAAGACAAAATGATAGGTTTTGGATGTCTTTGATCGAGTGCTGAAAAAATGTCATACTCCATTAGAATTTGAATACTTTTGGAACAAGTAAGTGTATATTAATCACTTTCCTTTTATACTTTTTACACTTTCTTTCACTCTTCTCCTAGGTACTGCTTATTTTACAGCTTGACCTCATTTTACAGCTTTTGTTTATTTTACAGCTTCTGCTCAGTCCCTTATACTTTCTGTACTTATTTTGTTCATTTTATACCACAGCTTCTGCTCATTTTACGGCTAAATCAAGGCTTCCTTTTACAGTATTTTTATTGGTTCATTTAATGCTGAACAATAACATATAATGCAGGATGACAACATATTTATGTGCTTTTTTTATAACATATAATCAGGGCTTCTGCTCAATACCATAGCTTCTGCTTATTTATGTGTTGTTTTTATAACATATAATCAGATATAATGCTAAACAATACCGTAGCTTCTGCTCATTTTACAACATATAATCAGGGCTTCCTTTTACTGTTTTTATGTGCTGAATTTTATATGTTGTTAATGTAGGATGACAACAGATTTTAAATGCAATGATAATGCATGGCTACATAGATTATATGAGCTTAAATACAAGTGGAGCAGGACTTATACAAAAGATGTTTTTCTAGAGGCATATTATCATCACAAAGAAGCGAATCTACAAATAATGCCTTAAGTCATAAACTTCATAAAAGCAGCAGTTTATATGACTTTTACAATAATTTTTGTGAAGTCATTGGGGAATGGAGAAGTAAAGAAGGAAAAGACAACGAGCTTTGTTGGGAAGGGTATCCACAAACAGCAGTACCTTTTGTTAAACTTCTGTATAATGCCTCAAGAATATACACAATAAATGCATACAAACTATTTGAGACAGAGTTTTTGAGAGGAATGACACATAAGCATGAGCTTAGATCCTAGGAAGATAGAATTCTGGTTTATATTGTTTGGATTCCGGGCTACGATTACTTTGGGAATCTTGTAACCTATGATATCAGTAACAACAATGCTTGTTGTACTTGTAAGAGGTTTGAAGAATTTGGCATATTATGCAGACATGTATTATGAATATACCATATGCATTGTGTGGAAGACATACCAAGTACATACATATTGAATCGATGGTCCCGTGATGCAAAGCCTAAGCCTACAAATGAATCTGGAAAGCCACCAGAGAGAAAGGAAATGGTTGCTTCAACTGTTTGGAGACTCCATATCCAAAGAAAATTCCACAAATTAGTGGTTTCTGCTGACAACAATGCAGAGTGTAGAAGATCAATTGAAGAGCTTTTTAACAAAGCTAGAGAAGAATTTGAAAGCCACATTGGAAGCATTTACAAATCTGATGAAGAAATTACAGAAAATGATGAAGATATAATAGCTAATCCAAAGGGAAAGAAACAAAAGTATGTAAGCAATGACCATCTGAAGAGTATCCTTGAAGTGAAGACTAATATTGCTAGAGAAAAAAAGAAGCTGCTATATCAAGTGAAGAAGCTAAAAAAAGAAAAGAGAAGCCACCACAAGTACCTATTAATCACTAGGAAAGAATAAAGTTACATGCATATCAGTTTTTGATTTTGATAATGTAACAAATTGATACTATCATTAGACCTTATTTTCTTATACATTTGATAACTTGCATTGCCAAGTGTTATATCTTTTTTATCAAAGGTGTTTATATCTTTTTTTGTCTTAACAATGAGTTGTAGTATAAATAAGTACTTGTAATCAAACCATTTGAAATATGAGGAAAAGTTTTCTAACCATTTGAAAATTGAGCAAAAGTATTCTAACCATTTGCAAAATGAGCAAATTTAATGAGAGCTACCTAAACAATATAGCAATTGGAGATAATCTCAGTAGATATTTGGCATAACTAAAAATAATGAGCAAAAAAAAATTTAAGCATTTGACAAATGAGCAAAAAAATTTTAAGCATTTGACAAATGAGCAAAACAAAATTAAGCATTTGACAAATGAGCAAAAAAAATTTAAGCATTTGACAAATGAGCAAAGAATTTTTAAGCATTTGACAATTGAGCAAAGAAGAGGTATTTAAATGTAATGGCCCTGGTGCAGAGATATGGGAAGTCAGATCTAGCAAATGAATGTGTTGGTCAATTAAAGCTAGCAAAAGAAAAGGCAGCATCAAAAAGAGAAAGTAGGAAGAAGGGTAAAAGACCAGCTGTCAAAAGACGTCTGCTTGAAGATTTGTCCAAGCAGCTAAACTTTGGGGAAGATTATGAAAACAAATATCATGATAAATTTTCTTGTCTTTAGGACCCCCCTTATATTGAGTTTGATGTATATGTTCAAGATGTTGAGCATGAAAATGATGTGTACTCTGGCGAGAGATCTTCTGGCCTGAGTGTTGCCAGTGAAGAGCATTCTCTCGCCTTTTTAGAGCCACTCTGAGAAGAGCGTGACTCTGAGAAGAGCAGTATTGCATGATGCTGAGCATGAATGCGAAGTAAAATTTGCTAGTAAATATTTCCATCAAAGTTGAACAATTAGCTACACTTCAGAATGTGTATAATTACTTACTGTGCTACTACACTATTCTGTATAATATCTGTGATTAAGAGGTAGCATTCTGCATAGTCATTACCCAAATCGAAAACATGATGTGAAACATGACTACATGAGAACCATGTTTTATTGTGTAAATGTAAAACCAAAGTGAAACAAATTGATTATTTATTTGAAATCCTCTAAAATTAGCATGACCAAATGAGCAAAACATAAGCATTTGACAAATGAGCAAAAAAAAATTAAGCATTTGACAAATGAGCAAAGAATTTTTAAGCATTTGACAAATG